CACACACACACACACACACACACACACACACACACACACACACACACACACACACACACAACATCAGACCTGAAAACAACCAGTTTAGCAACATTTTGTAGTGATTCTACAACTTTTGTTAGCTCAGTCAAAATGATACATTTCTGTCCGAATGAAATCAGCTGAGAGCTAAAACTGAGTTGTTTAAAGCTAAACAAATCAAAACACTAGCTAAAGTAGTAAAATGCTAACAACTAAAAGCTACATGTAGTAAAAAGTTGGCTAATAAACAAAAAAAAAACTTGGTAGAATAAGCAAAAGGCTAGCTAAATTAAAATGAAGCTAAAAGCAGCAACATGTTAACTAAAAGCATAAGTAGTATTAGGAAAAAGCAAAGGATCAGCTAAAAGTAGCCAAATCATAGCTAAAAGTTAAATATGGTAAAAAAGCTAAAAAACAAAAAAGTAGCTAAAAGAAGCAAAGAGCTAGTCAAATTTAAAAGAAGCTAAAAGCAACAAAAGGTTAGCTAAAACCAAAGTAGCATGAGGAAAAAGAAAAGTATCAGCTAAAAGTAGCAAAATGTTAACTAAAACTTAAATGTAGTAGAAAGTCACCTAAAAAACAAACTAGCTCAAAGCTAAATGTAGCAAAGAGTCTAGCTAAAGGATAAAAATAGCTAATTTAACAAAGCTTAAATAAGCAAAAGGCTAGATGAATTAATGAGATGCTAATGGGAAGCTAAAATAAAAGCAAAACAAATTATCAGCTAAAAGAAGTAAAATGCTAGTTAAAAGCTAAATTGACAAAACAAACAAAACTAAAAGAAGCCAAAAGCTAGCTAAATTTAAAAAAGGAGCTGAAAGGTAAGCTAAAGTCAACAAAACTATCTAAATACAACAAAATGTTAGCTAAAGTAACAAAAGGGACTAACAAAAGTTTAGCTAAAAGAAGTAAAGGGCTGACTAAAATTCAAATGTAGGAAGCTAAATGGTTTAGCAAAACTGCAGCTAGACTAGTTAAAATAAAAACGAAGCCGAAGGTACCAACATGTATTTAAATATGGCCAAACAGCTATCTAAAGGTAAAGTAGCGCAGAGCAGCAAAAGATTAACCAAGAGCTAAACAAAAGTTTAGCTAAAAGTAAATAAATAAATAAATGTACCAAAACCACTAGCTAATAGCTAAAATAGCATGAGGATGCAGCAAAAGAATAGCTAAAAAGAGCACGAAGTTATCTAAAAATTAAAGAAGCAAAAGTTAACGTAAAAGCTGAAGTAACAAAATGGGCAGCTAAAAGCTAAAACTAGCATAATACTAGCAAAAAGTACAAAATAAATGAAATGCTAGCTAGAAGGTGAGAGCATAGCCGAACATTAGCTTAAAGCTAAATGTAGCGTAAGAAAACAAAAACAGACAGTAGCTGAAGCAGATTTTAGAGAGAGTTTTTGAAGAAATGTCTTTTTATAAGAAAATATTTGTAAATAAAGTCATTATTATGAAAAGTCAYGGCAGTGTCTCCAGAATGAGCCGAATGTTTATAAACAGCTAAAACAGCACAACGAATGGAGAGTTTGATTGCAGAGCAGTTTATTAAAAACAGATGACTCAGCGTTCATCATCCGGTGAATCTTTTCAGCGYACGAGGTGCCACACGAACCGAAAGGCCTTTTTCAGGAGTTTTAAAACCTCATGTTCTGTTTACCAGGAGCCCCCGCCTGTCGTAAACAGAAATAAATCGAGGTGTTTCCAAGATGACTTGCATTTGTTCGCCTCGGTCAACAGCAGCACAGGTGTAATTACAGGCTGCAGGGTGAAACCCTCTGGCTCTCGTCCATGAAATGAAACAAACACCATGTGAACCCACGCGTGGATGCAGAACTCGAGACGGCTCTAATCAGCCGAGTGGGAGCCAGGTGAGCCGTGTCATCGCCTCGTTTCTGTCCTCGGGTGAATAAGGTGCACCGACTCGGAGCTGCTTCCAGTTTCATCACGTGTGGTTTTCATGTTACAGAGAACAGGTTTAAGACTTTTTAATGCCCCTCATGTAGGCCAGAACTGATCTTTCAGGTCCGAACAGGCCATCCTGAAGCTCAGGTGTGTCCTGGTTCAGGTGACCCGCAGGCTCAGAGTTTGTCAGAAAACCAAACCCAGCAGAATGAGTCGCTGAGACACAACCTCTTCATTCTTTCCTAAAGACTTCCTTTGTCTCCTTGAGCCAAGGATTTGTACTTATCCCATGTTACATCAGATATATATAAAAAAACAATTTAATATCTAAACCGTGATCTTTTACGATATAATTTAGTAAGAAGTGAAGCGTGAATTTAAGTTAAAACCCTAAACCTAAAGCATGACAGGTTGTGTGTTTGGTAAAAACTGAAAACTTGTGACAGTGACTGGTTAAATGTAGTCCTATGATGAAGTAATTAAGGACCATTTTAATGACCTTTGACCTATTTGTGCTCAGAGTATGTGTGGAATATGACTCTCAGTTACTACCACAGCAGACCTTATCTTCATATCTGTAGGTTTTACTGAGTTGTAGCTGTTTTAGTGTTTGTTAAAGTTTATTAGCTACAGTGACCTTCTGGAATCAAAAAGTGAACTCTGTAAATTTCTGAGTTTAAATTATATTTGTCCAGTGGTTCATGGGATATTTTGCTAATGGATGGATGGATGGATGGATGGATGGACAATGGATGTATGATGAATGGATGGATGGATTTATGGATGGATGGATGATAGAAGAAAGGATTGATGGATAGATGGAAGGATGTATGATGGATGGAGGATGGATGATGGATGGAGAATGGATGGATGTATGTATGATGGACGGAGAATGGATGGATGGATGGATGATGGGTGGATGGATAGATGGAGGGATGGATGTATGATGGATGGATGGATGGTTGGTTGTAGGATGGATGGATGGATGGATGGTT